TTCCCCTGCAAGAGGATAGTAGCTACACCCACACCCTGCAATTGGGAGAGCAAACCGGTCGCGGTAACTGAAAGGCATGTGACCGCAAATCCTGAACCCAGGCATCTTCCTAGGCCTTCCCCCCCTCCCCGTCAGGCTCAGCCGCGGGGGCGGGGGAGCTGCAGGAGCGGGAAAGGGGTGCATCTGGCCCACCTGTGACGATGATGCTAAACCGGGTCCACCCAGATACGTTTCTTCTCATTCAGCTGTTGGGTGTTGACACCTGCTGTGTCCCGGACACTTGCATGCTTCTCTTTTAAGCCTCGGGACAAGCCCGTGAAGCGGGTTCCGCGTCCGCCCTTAGGGACGAGGCAGGAGGCTGGCGGCGAGGCGACTCACCTGGGTGGCCGGGCCCGACTTCACCGGGGGTCCTGACCGCCGAGCGCGCGGGCTCCCTCGTGCCACCGCCAGGTCCGGGTGCTCGCTCTCTGTGCGCCGACGCCCTCGGTTTTACACGAGAGAACAGGGGCTCAGAGGCAGGGACCTCGGACCCCTCCGTCCGATCGCGCGCCCCCCTCAAAGTTCACTCGTCTCCCCGGGTCCACTGACACCACTTTAAACACTTTCAAATTTTAGATTGTAAAGCGCATAACACCCTTGGGCTTTAACACTGAGATTTCCCTGCGGGATGCGGGGCAAGGGCTGGACTTCTTGATGCCCCTCGCGGCCGCACTCCGGGAACCTGGGAACTGGGGGAGCAACAGGAACCCCCGCGAGGTCACACCGGGTCCAAGCTCCGCGCCAGCAACTGCGGCCCCGCCTACTGCGCAGGCGCCGCTCCAGGCTCGCGCGCTCCCGCCCGGCCCTGAGCGGGCGGGTCCACGTCGGAGGGCAGGGGACACGGCGAGTCCCCGTTCCTCCCGACGATGGGCCAGGCCAGCCTCTGGCCAATCAGAAAGCTCCGGCTACAAGAGGTTGGAGCTGCTTTTCCCAGAACTTTCCGGCCGTGCGGAGGGAGGGAGGTTAAATGATTGACATCTCCTCCAACCATTAGCAAAGCGGCATAAGCTTGAAAAGCAGAAGCTACTACGAATTGTCTTGCAAGAAAGGTTTTTTAGCCCCGCCCCCTCCTCCCACTGGCCTCCGAAACCCTTTGGGGTGGGAGGTTTTGGTAGCAGCCAATCGAGGGTCAGCAAGAAGGCGGAGGAGGCGGAGCAAGCAGTTGCCCCGCCAGTGTGTTCTTGCGCGGTGCTTGGGGTCCCAGGGTGGGGTTCACGCGTCCTGATGATCCCCACTTGGCAGGGGCTGGGACCCGGACGCGAACGGGAGCCGTGTCACCTCGCTGGCACCTTCCAGGCGACCTACTGAGGCCTTGAGCGGGGCCCCATCTGGGGCTCCCCTACGCCCCCGCCCCACCCCTAGCGCCAGATAGCAGCCCCCTGTGCAGCCCTGAGGGTCCAGGCCCCATCTGTCCCCGTCCCCAGCGCCGCCACAGGCCCCAACGCCTCTAGCCGCCGCTCTTGCCCTGTCTGGTCCGTGGAGGTGGTTGGTTACCATGGTGAAGCTGGCAGCCAAATGCATTCTGGCAGGTGAGTCTGAAATTTACAGTGTCCGGAGTCCAGAGACCTCCTAAGTTATCGATAGCTTTTGTTCAAGTAAATTGTCTACCCAGTTTCCCTTTCTCTCCCCCAAAGGCGAGTTAATGCAATTACTCATCGTGTAAATTCTATCAGGCGTGGGAGAAGGCTCTTGCAGAGCACACTGGTAGCTCCGGCCGATTTCCCGGCTCCCTGCCTGCTCTGAGACCTCCTTCCCCGGTATGAGCTGTGCTCAGGAGGCAGAGACTCGTTCAACAGCAGGCTAAGCACACCAGAGGTGCTTCAGCTAACGCAGTGCAGTACCCCAAAGTCAGGCATCGGTGACTTTGGTAGTCTTTTTTTAATGAAGGTTTTTTCCTTCCCCCCACCTCTGATAACAGGGATTAGAGACAGTGCTGTACAGTTGACCACAGTTTGCAAAAAGTGCACGAGTATTAGACGATACTGTGCTGCCCCACGCTCAGGGGGACGGACATGTCGAATCCCCCAAAGGCAGGAATCTTTGCTTTGTTGACTGATGCATCCCAAGCACCCCGAACAATATCTGGAACCTAGTAGGTCCTCAGTGAACATCTGTAGAATGAATGAATATGTGGCACTCACATTTGTGGCGCTCTCTTTGTACCCAGCTGCACATTTAGAAAAACATTGGCCTGGATTATAGACCCGGGACCACAGAACACATGTACTTTATGGAGTCTTTACTGCCTGCCAGGCACACGTATTTCATTTCATCCTCACAGTAGCACGCTGGGGTAGATTCTGTATTCTGATCTTACTGAGGCACTGAAAGTAAGGTCTCTTGCCTAAGGTCACCCGTGGTGAAGGAAGATCATGGGAAGGATTTCAACTCCCAGATCTGCCCAACTCCAAAACTTAACCTATGTTACTCTTGAAACCTGTGACCTTTCCAGGGTTCCTTGACCAGCTGAGGAAAGAAGCAGTGAGAAATTATAAAGAGAAAAAAAGGATTCTTTTATTATTATTATTATTATTATTATTATTCATCTCTTCCAGACTGAAACAGATATTTTTAATGACTTTTCTAATTTGGAAATAAAAGGGCCGCATAGAAAGATAACTGACAACAGCAACTCAAATCATACTGGAGCAAAAGAAATTAATGGCTCTCAGGAGAGTCTCTGCTTTCCAGAGCACCAGGGGAGGCAGTGTTGTGCAGCAAAAATAATTCTGGCTGTTCCTCTCATTGCTGTGTCCTCTTGGACAAAGCACTTCTCTGTGCCTCAGTTTCCTTGTGAGTAAGGTGGGAATGTTTTTATTTTCTGAAGTTAGTTTTTTTTTAATGGGCTTCTCTCTCCGACTGTTCTTTCCTTATTTCTTTTTTCATTCAGCTTCCATCATGGAGCTGACTTACTGAACCCTTTCCATGCGCCAGCTCTGTGCTAGACCCTCGCCTCAGCATCTCACTGAATCCTCACACAGTTCTGTGGGCTCAGCATTATTATTGTCATTGTCATTTACAGATGGGGCAGCTGAGGCCCAGAAAGGTTAAGATATTTGCCCTGGGTCACACAGCTGCATGTGGCAGAGCTGGGATCTAGACCCAGGTGATCTGATTTCCAGGGCTTTGTTCTTAGCCCCAAGCTGTACTATCCTCCAGCCTCAATTCTAGACTCTTTGCCCTTCTTTACACCCCCTCCCTCAGGTACTGTTCCCCTGATTCCAACCACTGTCTGAGTGATTCCTGAATTCCAACCTAGCCCTCAACCTGCAGCCCCCTTTCGAGGCCTTAAGGGTATCATCTCCTCTTGGAAGTTTCCAGGGACCAGAAAACCTCAGCACAGCGAATCAGCTCCACCCACCACTACCCACCAGATTCTGGTTTTCCACCCCACCCCGCCTCACACACACCCCTCTCTGGTTTTCTTTGCCTTTCCCCTCACAGGCCTACTGTTTAGATTGAGCTCATCTGCCTTTTTCTTCTCACATAACTAGTCATTAAAGGACCTGGTATTTAATTCAAGTGCTTATTCATTCAACAGATTTTTATTGAGCACCTACTAAGTGTAAGTCCCCATTTGAAGTGTGGTGGGAATACAAGGATGAGTCACGCCAGCCTCTGCTCCAGGAAGCGCTGAGATGTACATAATAACTTACAGCGCAGCGCACAGAATGGACTGCCCTCCGTGTGCCAGATACCAGAGGAATACCTCGTGGTGCATCTGCTCTTGTGCTGGCTCAGCTCAGGAGAGAAAACAATGCTTGACATTTATCTACATGTTATTTACTTAAAAACCACTTAACTGTTACTCAATATACATTAGGCATTGTACGTATTAACTAGTTAAGTCCTCATAACAATTCTGTGAAATAGGTGCTATTATCCCCATTTTGCAGATGGCACAACTGAGGCCCAGAGAGAGATTACTGACCCACGGTCACACAGCTTGTCATGATGGAGCTGGACTCAGTGCTCTAAGTGCTATGATTTATTGCCTCTTGATATAAGTTGTTCTGACATCAGGTCTCATGCTAGCAGCCATGAGCCACATTAGCCTCACAGGCAAACACAAAGGAGGGAGAGATGACCTTCGGTGGCTGCGCACAGAGTACACTGAGCTGGGCCTGGCAGAGAATGGGCAGGATTTGGACTTGGGTTGGAGTGACCTGGGAGGCCGTATTGGAGGGATTTTCAGAGATCAAAAGAATAGGTACACAGATACTGAATTTTAATGTTGTACGCCGGAAATTTACATGTTATTAACAATGTTATCGCAGTACAAAAGGAAAAATATATTTGTTACACACATACACACACACATACACACACACACTGGGAGTGTAGAGCGGAGATTTTGTGTAAGGGATATTCAGGGTCAGGGGTTGACCAGAGAAGAGGGTTATGGGGGGGAGTCCTTGGCGGGCTTTGCAGGACAGCGACAGGGTAAAAGGTTATGTTATGAAGGTCCATCTGCTGGTGCCGAGCTCGGGGTGGGTCAGAGCAGGGCGAGTACTAAAGGGGAGAGGGCTGGTTGGGAAGTGCTTTCAGGCAAGACCCAGACAGGAAAACAGAAAACACATTAGGCATTTCAACAGAGAAGTGTTAATATACGGAAACGGTCCAGCAGGCGGGAGACCTGAGACAGCAGGCGGAAAACACTGAGATGACACGGAACTGGGAGGTAGAGGCGGGGTTGCCAGAAGCTTGAAGAAGAATCCAGAGAGCAGGAAGCAGACCTCAGAGGAGGCTGCCCAGCTCGCGGGTACCTCAGGAATTCAGTGACCAGCGGGAGGCCCGTCCATGCCACAGGTCCCTAGCACCCATTGCCCACCAGCAGAGACATGACTGAACCGATTTCAGAGCATCCTGGGGGTCTGTGTCCTGAGACCACTCCTGGTACCACAGGGCTGCAGAAGCCAGGGTCCAGGCAAAATGCAGAAACTGCTCTGGGTGTGTCAGTGCAAGGATTTCATGCGGGACATTAATCCAACACGGAGGACTGGGAAGACAAACAGGGACAGCAAGGCGGCACAGAGAGTCACTGCAGGAAGAAGCCTCACCCCAGGGCTGGGGACAGAGGGCAGAGGGTGGTGCTCAGGACCTCGAAGCTCAGGAGGACCCTGGGGAGCTGAGAGGCAGACCTTGGAGAAGGCGCCACTGTCACACGGTCATACAGCTTGTCGTGATGGTATCTCTGAGGGGGTGTGGAAAACTGGTCTGAGAGTACAAAAAACAACCGAAAAATCTGGAGACAGCACTAACTAGTGCTGCTGGGGTGAAGGCCATCGCCAGGCTGCTGCCAAGAGAAACAAGCAGACGGGAAGGAGCAAGTCCGGCTGCCCGCCCGCCTTCCAGCCTTTCCCCTTCCCCGGAACGCGCATTGGCAGAGCTGGACAGGAGGCACCTGGCAGAAGAGAGTCGCGTTTGCGTTGTCCCAGCCCCAGCATCACAAGGCAAGGCCCGGACAGGCGGGTTAGGGGCTGCGACAGAAGCCCGGGCATGAGGTAACCAGGGCAGTGTCAGCAGTGACAGCCAAGGTCGTGTGGCTGGAGTGAGGAGACTGAATATGGGAGGAAGGAGGAGGGTCCGAGGTGACTGTGGGTGAAGTCGGGACAGTGAGAATGAATGGTAACATCACGAACAGAACAGGTGAGACGGTGGGGTGAGACTGCTCAGGACCCGGGCCACAACCTGAGCCCGGCTGCAGACAGACAGATTGGGTGAAGGCCCGTCATTCCGAAGGAGTGGCAGCCAAGGTAACGAGAGCAAAGGGGACAGAGCAGAGGGGGCAGAGGGCCAAGGACAGACCCACAGGGTGCCCACGTTTAGGAGGCAGGAGAACCAGGCCAGGGTGACCGGGGCCACTAGGCCGGAGGGCTCAGGAAGGTGGAGACTGCTTCAGGCTGACTTAGCCTTCAGAGGCGTCAAGAGCTTGAGGACTGAGAAAGACCACTGAACTTGGCGATTCTGAGGTCACCCTTGCATTGTTCCTCTGCAGATGTCACCCTTAGTCAAGCGGTGCCCCTCCCTGCCGTCACCCCCAGGCTGAGCCTGCCCACTGATGAAGCCACTCATTCATTCTTTCCTCGTCTCCGTGCGCCCCAGACGCTCGGGTTCTCAGCTTGCGCTGTTTGAATTTGCACTTGTCATCTTGTTGCTCTGCAAACGTGTTTATCGGCTTTCTCCCCACTGCTCGATCCCTCGTCAGCCGACACAGGAGGTTTTCCGTGAGTGTGGGTGACTCTGACTGGCAGTGGGAAGAGAGAAATATGAAATTAACCAGAACACATCTGTGGGGAATTTCACAAGCGTGAAGAGCCAATTTCCAACCGGATTCAGAAGTCAAACTGGAGTCGGGAGGGTGGGTGCTGCCAGCGCGCAAGGAGGGCGATGCGCTCTCTGCTCTGAGATGGGCGGGGACCCCCGCAACTCCAGCCTGTGCTTGCCCCCAGGGTTATGGGAGGCTGCAGTGAGGAGGGCCTGGGGCAGAAGGGTCCCTGAGCTCAAGGAGAGGAGTGGGGTCTGGCTGAGAGCATGGTGTTGGAATCCCAGGGAGGTTTCTCAGCTTCCCTGGGCCTCAGTCTCTCCTTCTGTTAAATGAGGTTAATGATAGTGGGGGAGGCATCGAATGAGACTGTGGGAATGGGTTCAGGAGGAAGGCTGCACATGTGTTGGTTCCCTCGTAAGACATGGTGGCAAAGAGGAAAGCAAGACCTGAATAGCTCACTCAAACCTGGAGGAATTAACATGAAATGAAATGCCACGAGTAGTCAAATCATTGTCTCACAAGAGAAAATTATAGGTGAGAAAAGTCAAAACTGAAAAGTGAACAGATAACTATGTCTGGTGTCAAATGGGTACTAGATTTGTCGGGATGATCACTTAGCAAGTTATATAATGTCTCATCACTGGGGTGTGCACCTAAAACTAATGTGATATTTTATGTCAACTGCAATTAAAAAATAAAACATGATTTAAATTTAAAAAAGAAAAAAGTGAACAGAGCGGGAGGGTATGGAGAAATCAAGTAAAGAGAGGCATTGAAGCCGCTGTGAAATAGGGAGCGAAGGTGAAGAGATGGCACCAAAGGGTGCAGGTCAGGGGGACCCAAGTGCCATGGTGAGAAAGCGGAAAACAGGCACCCTGGGGAGGGAGGGAATGGTGGGGAATCGGTGTAAGACTCAGGGTGAAGAAAGTCTTGCAGATGGAAACAGGGTGCGGAGCAGAGCCATCAGCGGGGAGGGAAAGTGGGGAGGGCACAGGGCAGTGATGGGCACGGCCTGCCGCCAGCACCCTTGAGGACACGGGGGGGACTCCAGATTAAATTGCCTCCAACAGTCTCATGAGAAATCCAGATCTCAGACTGAAACTGTGACATAAACCTTCAGTTTTAAGGTACCAATTTATGGGGCTATCAACTAACAAAGGAACACCCAGGAGATAAACCCATTGGGTGTGAGGCGAGCTGCTGTTGCAGATAGACTTGGCCCCTGGGAAGATGGACCCTCAGTGGTCACAGATGGGCACACCGAGGTGGAGGGGTAATGTATCACCTAGAAATGGATTTTAGGGTGGCAAGTGGAGCATTTTTGTTTCCCATAAATGCAGAAAACCTCAACTCCCACATCCACCAAAACAACAAAACAAAAACTATGCAGGCTCCTAACTATGGAAGCTCTAAACTCAAATTGGTTCAGTCGGTCAGCTGAGCCTATCAGTCTGTACCTGGTTGCACCTGCTTACCCTCAAGACATCAAAGCAAATTCCAGTTAGAAAGGGACAGGTTTTCCCATCGGGTATGTTCAGAGGAAGCGTCAGTTCTGTTTCCAGGGCTCCAAAGCCCTCCGTAAGCTCTGTTACCTTCTGGGTCAGTTCTTTTAGATGAAAGGTTAGCCTTGAAGCAACTTGACTCTGGCCACCGTGGGTTTGGGAGATTGGTCTCATGGACCCCATGCCCTGCCAGCGACCTCAGAGCAAGCTCCCATGAGAAGTACATTTTCTCTGAAAACTCTTTGAAGCGTTTGGTTTCTAGACTAGCATTCTGGAGTGGGAAGTCCTCGAGTCGGATTAGGATGGCAGCCAAGTCTGTATTGTATGTACTCTGTCCCACAGGAGACCCAGCAGTGGGCAAGACAGCCCTGGCGCAGATCTTCCGCAGCGACGGAGCCCACTTCCAGAAGAACTATACTCTGGTGAGACAGGGGAGCCATCAGCGGGCCGGGCATGCGGAGCAGAGGGAGAGAGCCCCGAGATAACTTTCAAAGTGCCTTAAGAAGCCCCCAGAGGTCTGACAAGAGGCTGCTTGAATGGCCACGTGCGAAGTGTTTTTCCACAAGCCTCAGGGCGTGGGTCTGTCTGCAGAGCAGACTAGCCAGTGGTCACTTTGTCACCACGCACGGCTCACTCTTGGGCAGGGAGCTGGACAAGACTAGTTGATCCTCTGTGACTTCTGCACCACAGTGAATCCAGAACACGAACACTTAAGCTGGGGACATGTCTCCTAGGCGTCGGGTGCTTGGCGTGTCCTCCTGAAACATGCCTCCTGCACCCTCTGACACACACGTTCTTGGTTTTCCTTGGCAGACAACAGGGGTTGATTTGGTGGTGAAGACAGTGCCAGTTCCTGACACAGGGGACAGTGTGGTAAGTGGTGCCCTTAACCCAAGGGAGCTCAGTTCCCTGCAGCAGGGCCCTGGGTCTCCGTGGTCACCATCGTCCTCCCTATGAGAGACGTGGTGCAAGGACTTGGCCTAGACTCATCTGAGCGTTTGGGAACAGAACTGTGGAGCGAGAAGCCTCCTAGGGAGGGGGAAGGAGAGGAAGGAGAACTGAAAGATGGGCCCTCATAGAACTTATCAAGATTCTCAATGTGGGTCCCTCTAGGGGACCCACACTCCTGAAATTGAATTGCTAGATGTTATGTTTGTATGTGCTTTCTGGGGAGAAAGTTTAAGAGTCACCAGATTCTTACAGAGGTACATAAGCAAAAACAGTTTTAAGTACCCCTGATGCAGTGAGAAGGGACGAGTCAAGAGCACAGGTAACCTGTGTGCAGCTCAGATTATGCCATTGGTGTTCGGACAGCATGTGCCAGGGTCGGAAGCCAGTCAGGGATACCCAGTGCCCGGAGGGAGCTGAAGGGGAAAGTTTGGGGAGACCCTGGGCGACAGCAGACAGCATTGGGGAGGGCCTCTCCCACAGGCTGGCTGCAGTTTGGACCAGGGCACGAGGGGTCATCCTGCGTCTTCCGTCAGAATCACAGCCTGAGCCATCCGGAGTGATGACAGACTGTCCTACTTTACACGCCTTCCCAGGCCTACTCAGTGACCTCCTTTAAAAAGAACAGTTTTAAGATTTGAAAATCAATTTGGTTAACAAAGTGCAGAGTGACCTTTTGGAAACCAGAGCACTTGTCAGCCTGTTTAGCATTCTGTTCTGCCAGGTGGGAAGGCAGCTTGTTCCTGGTATTTTTTGCACTTGGGGTTAGGAAAGGTGAGAGCTGCACAGAAAGTGCTGGTGGTGTGGGAAACGTCCCGCCTCGCCAGGATTCTGGAGGTCGCTCCTCTTCCCATCACCATCCTCGTGGCCCCGGGGGAGGTGCAGCCTCTATGAATGTGTGTGTGCACGTGTGTGCACCTCACCAGGAAGCCAGGTCTGGTGAGCTTGGGGCAGTGCCACTGACTTGCAGCCAGTGCCCGCCCCCTCTAGCCCCCCCCACCCTGTGTAGACATTCTTGGGACACGCCTTTCTGATTTTAGGAGCTCTTCATTTTTGACTCTGCCGGCAAGGAGCTGTTTTCTGAAATGCTGGATAAATTGGCAAGTAGCATGTGGTTTTATTTCCTAACCACCACCATCTCCCTCAAAAGGTCCCCCCTTATATTGCTCTCCCAGAAATACCACTGTGTCACTCCACTCTGGCTGCCGAGAGAAGCTGTGGTAGCAAAATTCTGTAAGGGGCACTCCTCCCAAGCTTGGGACTGTGGCCTCTTGGCAAGTAGGAGTGCCTCGTACATGTGATCCCCCCAGCTCTGAATGGCCAGGTTCCAAATGCACCCCAGCTGTGTGGGGCTCAGCCCTCCAGCCGCCCACTCTGGGGCCTCACTTCTTTTAGCAACTCCCACCTGATGGTCCTTTCAGCCCTCCTCCTCAACCTCCCAGGACAGGAACACACATTTCCTTCCCTCCGGGGGTGGGGTGCCCCAGAGGCCCCATCACGAGGCTCACCTTCCCAGGCCACACCCTGGTCCCATGGGCTTGGCCTGGGACATGCCCCTGCTGCCCAGGGCTCCTCGTGCCCATCCAGCCATCCTCTCAGGATCCAGCCCGCTGTTCCTTCCCAGGTAACAGTTCCGCTAATCTGGGCCAGCGAACTAATTAGAAGGGTTAAGCTCTCCAGAGCCCTCCGCTGCCTTTCCAAGAACGGCTACATTTTAATAGAAACTGTTTTCTGCCCTGTTTTTGGTTTTTGTCTCAGAGAAACAGATCTAATGATGGGAAGTTCACACAGGGCTGGCTTGATATATCAATTCATGTTTGCTACATGCCTACCTACTATGTGCATGGCTTGGCACTGGGTGCTGCCCTACCAGGCAGAAGGGAGGATGTGCCTGGCAGGTCAGGGCCCCAAGCAGCTCACACCCTGACTCCAGCCTCCCACCTCCAGCTCAGTCCTCGGACTGTCACTCGATGAGGCCTGGAGGAGGAAGGTGTCTCCTGCATGCTCATGAAGGGTGGGGTCAGTGTGGTTCTAGTGCAAGTTCTCGAGCTGGTCTGTGGAGTGAAGGGCGAGAGAATCATTGGTTTATCTATTTCCCCATCCTGCTGGCCTTCAGGAGCCAGGGCAGCCTTGGGGATAGGGAGGTGGGCCCTCCAGAGCAATTCTGGGCTGACCTTCCAAGGAAAATTGGAGGGGAAGGATTCTCCCTCACACCCTGGGAGGTTACAACACCCCAGAAATAAACCAGGCTCTCATTGCGCAGGGTGGGGGTCTCCAGAGACCAGGGCAGGGCCACAAGTCACATGCATCACAGTCTGAGCAGGGCTATTCTAGGCCCTGTGCCAAGCAGCAGGATGCCCTGGGACTCTGAGCAGCCCCTGAAGGCGACCGCCCTGAGAGCATAGCCCTGGTTCTTGGTTGGGATAGTGGTCTGGTTTGGAGTAGGGCTTATGCACTGCAGGAGCAGCAGGAAGCACCCTCCACATTTTGAAAAGCAGCCTTTATAAAGGAGATGCAAGCAAACAAGCATCGGTGACTGGCCGATGAAAGAAAGGATGCTCTTCCAGGCTGCAGAGCAGAGAGGCACACCAGCTTGCATAATAGAGGGCCATCAATAAGGATGAGAGAATGAATTCCTGAGGCCAGTGGCAGGAAAAGCGCCTCTCGGTAGAGAAAAGTTGCAGTCGTGCCCTAGTGTAGAAAGCATATCTGATCTGGGCAAGTTGGTCACCCTACGCTGCAGCTGCGCAGTAGGAACATGGACACCAGCCCAGCCAAGTTGGGCGGTTTCTCGATGATGCCCAGAGTGCCCAGCAGAGAGCCTGGCATGGATGTGAGCCCTGGCCCTGGACTTCATCACTGCACCTTCCCCGCCCAGGAGCCTAGCCCTCCATTCATTCCTTTGGGTGAATTGTTTCCTTCTGTGGGTGTGGCTTAGTTTTCTGACTCATGTGGCCACATGTCCCTTCCCAGATTTTCTCTCAGCCTAGAAGTCACTTTCACTGATACTGACATGTGCTCATCCTGTCCCTCTTGTACAGTGGGAGAGTCCCAATGTCCTGTGTCTCGTCTACGACGTGACCAATGAGCAGTCCTTCAGCAACTGCAGCAAGTGGCTGGAGAAGGCCCGGTCACAGGTGCCAGGCACCTCCCTCCCAGGTAGGAGCTGTGGGCATCCGGGTTTGCCAGTGGCACCTCAGTCCTTCAAGTGCAAGAGCACAAGGTCATTGCAGAGCTGGCTGTGGGTGCAAAAAGGGGGTGCCCTGGGCTTTGAGTGTGATGGCCCAGCTTGTACACAGAAGCCTCAGTGAATTCCCACACGCCTCTGATCTGTCAAACAGGCATGATGACACCCACCGTGCAGGGCTGTGGGGACACTCCAGTAGTAAAGGGGAAGGGGCTGTGATAGGAATGTGAGCTGTTATTTCTGCAGAGCTAACCCTGGAAGAACTCCTCATTTTCTCCTGTCTGTGGGGCACAAGTAAACAGGTCCCGTTGTCACTTCTGAATGCTTTAAATCAATTTATTTTTCATTCTCATGTGAGATCAACAAATCCTCCTCATTAAAGACCAGGAAAAACGATCTCCAGAGACAGGCTCAAAAATTAGCTGCAGCTGATGCAGCTGGGGACAGATCTAAATTACCTCCAAGTCCCTGACTCTGAGCTCAGTCCTTAGATTAGTATTAATGACCATTTTTAAAGTTTGCTCCATGAGCTAGGAATTGATCGAAAATACTTGCATAAATTTGGCCCTCGCCTTCAGGGTGCTTGCAGCCTTAAGGCGACAAGGCAGACAGATAGATACACATGAAGTCTAGAAAAAGGGCCACGTAGAAGCTGTGTGTGCAAAGCAAAGCCCACTCTGCTGTGGCCCGTGGGGTCATCACAGTGTCCCTGTCTTGCTCACCACCTCGAACCAAGCAGCCTCTCGGACAATCTTTTAGGCCCCTCAAAGTCAGTCTGCTTGCTCTTTTCCCTCCAGTAGGCCTCCCAGGCTGCCAGTTAAATGTGGTGCTTTGGTTTCTTTTGAGTAGGTGTGTTAGTGGGCAACAAGATCGACCTGGTGAGCAGACGAGTGGTGGAGTCAGCTCAGGCCCAGGCGTGGGCACTGGGCCAAGGCCTGGAATGTTTTGAAACATCGGTGGTAAGTGCCTCCGATTGCTCGGTTTTTCACATAACCTCATGCATCGTGTTGTTACTCCACCATATGCAGAGTCGAATTTGGAACTGATGTTTACATTCTTAGCCCAAGATCATTTCTCGGTATAGCAAGAGTCACTTGTGCATTTCAATAAAGCTGATCAGCCAGCCAGCCCCGGGAAACGTTGTATCTCAATTAGTGAAAAATACAAGTGGATTGTGTTCAATGTCAGTGACGCTAGACATTTGCATGAGATATTGTGAGTTAGGTGCTGCTGGAACATGACTTCACCGATCCTCCCTTTCAGTCCTGTGCACCAGGCGCTGGTCCCCCAGTTCCCACTTCCACGAGGAGGTGAAGTGCCTTGCCCACAGTCACGTGACTTTTAGAGGGTGGGACCAGGACTGGGATCCATAGCTTCTGGTTCCCATCTGTGCTCCCTGCCCCACCTTGCTGCAGCCCCCGAGTGACTCCAGGCCACAGATTTTCCCCCAGTAGACGAGCAGGAGCCCTCATTAAGGGGGACATTTGGAGTGATTTGTCCTGGCACCCTCAGTACACACACGTCATATTTTTAGCTGTCCAGCTGGTGAACCCCTCCCTGTGTTGGGAGGTTTGAGGTCCTAGCCTCGCCTCCTTGCGGCCAGGCGTGTGACTCAGGCTGTCCCAATCAGATGTGCTTGTGTGCCATATTTCTACAAGAGGAGTGAAGTGGAGACTGGCCCCTGCAGGAGCAGCCCAGAGACATCCATTCCAGAGCCAGCAGGGGCTGAAGCGCTAGCTGCAGTGCCCCTCGCCAGGGCTGTTGGGAAGACCTGTGGGCCTGGCACATCCGTGGTTATAACATGGACCTCACCCCTGGCCTTTTGGCCTCTGGATCTGATTCTCTGGCCCTTCAGAAGAGTCCGTGGGCTAATTAATAAATAGCCTGGAGGTCGTTTTTACTTTACTTAAGCCATAGGCAATTCTGTTGCATGTAGGAATCTTGACAGGCTGATGCTGAAGTTAGTGGCTGTGCGGCTGTG